GTGTGTGTGTGTGTGTGTGTGTGTGTGTTGACGCTGGGAAACTTACTCTGGGTGTTGTAGCCTGAGGTCACATGCTGTGACTCCTGGTGAGAGGGAGAGAGAAAGCCAGAGGGAGAAGTGGATGAATAAACCAACAGATGTCATTATTGATTTCACCGCGGTACGACGGTGCTATTACACAGAATTCAGATCTTCTCATCTCATGGCGCCCACACTCCACCTCATTCTTTAAACTCAGTGGCAGGATTAGAGTGACGCCGGGGGCTTAAAGCCTAATGCATTAACAGCTGGGTCAGATTTACCGCCTCTGTGTTCGCATTGTTTTTTTCTTTTTGACATCACCACCAATTAAGTGTTATTCATAAGATAAATAAAAGCATGTCATAAAAGAATGCAGCAGATATTGCTGCCATTTCAGAGATAAATGTAAAGTATAACATTTATGTTGGTTTTAATGTGACATATATCCCATCTATTTACATATCACAAGGTGTCATAAACCTTTTTTGTCAGAGAAGTTGAAACTTTTCCATCATCAGTCTTCTGAAGTGGCAGTTCTTTAGTCCCTGCTTTTATTTCATCTCGCTCCTTGTTAATTACTGTTGCCATTTCTGTACTTTACTTCTCAAACACCTCCTGTCAAACAAACTGTGGGTGGTAATGCATTTCCTTGAAATTACTGTTAATGAAGTTTGGCTTTCTTTAAGTGACATTGTTTGTCTTCCAGTGTTTTTAAATTATTAACAGCCACAGGGTTTTTCTCTGTTACCAGAGACTAAGTGTTTAACAGAACTTGAAAAAGCTTTTGTCATCTCAGTGTTGACTGGAAAGGTTTTTAAGGACACTCTCCAGAGCAGCCAAACAAAAGTTGGTACAAATATTAAAAAGCGTTCACACAATAGTGAAGTAGTTGCTGTGATCAGTGGATTCACTTGAAAAGTGCAAATAAATGTGTCTTTGGTGAAGCTTTACTGTACACATGACATTTACATGTGACTGCAATTGACCAACAGCCTGGCAACTTGACTGCTGACCTTTAAAGAAAGTAGAAACCGAGTTTGTAGGACACTATAGTAGCTTATTCAGGGTTTCTGCTTCTTTCAGCATGTTGAATTGAAGACTTTTTAAGACATTTTTACGTTCATGAAATTTAATACCTATTTACAACAGATATATCCATAGACTTTCCCACAGCCAAGCCAAAAGTACTGAGATACATTTCAATCAGCTTGTTTTTAAGTTTATGCATGCCACCAAAACATTGCCTTTAAAAGAAAAAAGAAACAGAAGCAGCATCAAAGACCTATTATTTGAATGCATTTAAGAACTATTATTCAGATTATCCATGTTTTTTTCAGACCTTGCAGAAAACCTGTTGTCAGTGTAGTTGCACCGTCCAATTTTATTTCACCTCTTGACTCAAACTCAGTTATCAGGAGTCAATGGTACAAATACTAATAATGTGTGATTTCTGTGTTTTGCTGAGTGAGATAAAACTTGTTATCTCAGTAGACAGTAACTTGTGAAAAGTTAAAAATGACATATATAATTATATGTAATATTATTATATACTTATATAATTATATTATAAATAATTTAAATAAATTATAAATAAAAAGGCTGTGGAGCAGAATATTTTACTCAAAGAACTAAAAACTTAAAAGACAACTCAAGTGGTCTTTTCTAGGAGGAGAAACATTAGCAACCAGCCATGAAATTGAAACATATAAACTTCTTCCAATGGAAACATTTAACGCAACGACAAAGGTTATCACTTATAATACCACAGTACACACTCCTGCAGACAACAGTATGTCCACGTCTGCACAGCTGGAAACACACAGTCAGGAGAAAAATTCAACATATGCTCATGAATTAACATAGTAATTTTATTGGCTGTCGAATGCACCACTGTGCAGCATGAGGCAGGGATGAAGTAATCTGATTGGATCACAGCAATCACTGCAGCAGGGATTTTATGAATCAGATCTCATTGGCAGAATGAAGATTTACAATGACAGAATGCAGTTAGTTTTATGGTGAGCCGCCGATCAGCGTAGGAGTTGAAGTGAAGATTCCTCAACTGTTTCACATCTTTTTCCACTCATCACTGACTCATGCACAAATTAAGATGTAGTCAGAGCACGGGTAGAAAGCATAATAACAACATTTAAGACAGCAAACATTACCACGCTTGAAATCCCACATGAATTTGCACTATTAAGGCTTAAAGAGGAGAGTGAACTTATTGCTTTAGTAAATTAAGGGTGTTTTGAATGGGAAAGAGATAGTGTGTGTACTAACCTTGTTTGGAATGGGGAACTTTGTCTGATCAGCCTTCCCAGGAGTGTGTATGGCTGTGAGAGGAGGAGGCCAGGAATGTGTCATCTCCTGAAAACACACACACGTTTCCACATTATATTACATTAATTAAATTAATTCATGACATTAATTTTCTGGATCAAACTAAAAAAAGCACATAACTCGCACTGAATGTATAGGTTTGCTGTCATGTGGTAAGTAACTGTTGAATAACAGAACATTTGAGCTGAAATTGACTGTTTATGCAACAGTTTTGATGCAGACTAGTCGAGTCAGCATTCAATCAACGTTGTGCAGAGGCATTCCCAACAGAGTGGACTTTAATATAACTTATAGAATAAACTGTGAGGTGCATGGGGAGTTGGTTGCACACCAGGGAACAGTTCTTTCAGAGTGAACTAAACGCAGAGTTGTTGAATTACCAGAATAAAAGCTGACTCCAGTCGGCTGCATTACAACTAAGCAGCAGCAGCATTATTCTAATCACACACACACACACACACACACACACACACACACACACACACACACACACACACTTGTTCACTGGTGTCTATGAAATTCTTTGTAAATTCTAAAGTATCATAATTATCATATCTATCTTAGTTATCCAATCAATTGATTATCAATATTAGTCATTACTTTAAATGCTACGATTTAATCTCTTTCACACACTCATACAACAGGTCAAAGGGCTGGAAAGGTCACTGCCATCACAATTTCCCATCATACGTCTCTTCGCCCCCTCTGGAGAGGATGACTCATAGTCATCCGATGACTCATGTTTCTGTGTGTTTGCCTGTGTGTGTGTGAGTGGGAGTGTGTAAAAGTCATGGAAGTTTTAGTATGGGTCTATGGTTGTGTCTTAAGTTTTCTCTCTCTACAATTTTAACGCACTTGGCCTGAAGTCACACGGCGCGTTGCTGGGCAACTCTGCTCTGACATCATCACATCCCTCCTGGAAGAGTTTCTCTCTGTTTTGACAGGCGGTACTCCAGATGGTGTGTGTATCCGTGCATGAATTTATGTGTGTGTGTGTGTGTGTGTGTGTTTGTGTATGTGTGTCTGCAAATGTGTTACTACTGCCATTGCATGATTAACTCAGTCTGTCACATTGAAATAGATCCACATGTCACTGTTATTATGGACTAGTTATATTATCCATTATCTACTATCTATTGTACCACAATAAATAATAAATTACAGCATGTAGGATTAATGATAAACTGAAACTGAATGGTTGTATCTTTGTTTCTTTAAAAGGAGTTCTTTATATCTACATTGGCAGAGGGTTGTCATGGAGTCCACCATGTTGCACTGCAATGTGTCCGAATGGAATAACCGAACACTAGCTCCAGAGAGGGGCTTTCATGTTTTTAATGTCACCCGAAGGCTGCCGTAGCTTCTTCTACACACAGGACGGGGTGAGAGGATCTTATTTTTACTGCAGAAATGAACCGGGAGAAAATCTGCCAAGAATTATGGCTGTAGTGGATAATGAGCTCAAAAAGACAGAAAGGCTTACTGTCTGAGGGAAATCATTCTGAGGGCCTGACAGGAGAGAGCGTGAGGAGGTTTTATGTATTACTTATTTTTATGTTTCACTTCTTTACACACATGGCATCTAATGGTGATGGTATCTCACGCAAATTTTCCCAGCAGTAAATAACGTTCAAAAAAGTGGGGTTGGGAGAATGACATTTTCTTAAAAGCAGAATCATCCGTTTGTTAAATCCAATACTTGACAACAACCGGAAAAGACTTAAAATACATTTTAACAATACTTTTCATTATCTTTGTTAAATAAGTGACATTGACACTGTTTTGTGCATAAAGGCAAACGGATTATATCTGCAATTTTTAACAGCAACATCTTTAACCATAAAATGGCTGGGAGAAATCTGCAGACCCCACATAGGATACCAAGCAGGTTTAGCCTACTCATGAAAACAACTCATTCAGGGGTGACTTGACAGAAATAATAAAGAAGGTGGAAGACTCAAAGTAGAATTACCGCCCTACCAGTGCAGAGAAGACTCATATAAGGTCAGTGTGACATGTGACCTTTGATCACTGAAATTGAATTGATTAATCTACCAAGTGTAGAGTGGTGGAGAGTGTGAATGGTCCAGGAGACAACTGGTAAAAATTTGAAGACATTTCCAAAAGTATGATTTCACTGTGAATTTTGACCACCCCAATGCAATCAGTGAATCTGTGAGTATAAGTGAAAATTTGAAAGGATCCTCTCTAGGCATTCTTAAAATACGGTACATGATGCAAAAAGGGGTTTTGTGAGGTCACCGTGACCTTGAGCTGTGACCACCACATTCTAGTCAGTGAATTCTTGTGTCCAATGGAAGGTTTGTATCAACTGTGAAGAAATTACCTCAGTGTGTTTTTGAGATACCTGTTCAGAAGAATAAAGGGACAACCCCGAAACATAATGCCTCCTGCCACTGGCTATCACTGGCACAGATAAAAAGGTTTGCTTACAGACCATCCTTGTAGTGCTGATCATCTAGTTTAGATGTTAAATGTTTATAGTTGCCAACATTTGCTGTGCTCTGTGGCAAAAAGAGAGACTCTCCTTCATCACATCATAAGGGGGTATAAATAGACAGTGTAGTCTTCTGAAGGTTTGTAACCAGTGAGAGTGTCTTTGCCCCTGTACACAGTATCTCTACTTGAATCACTGCTTGATACTGTGAATTATCAAACATCCAAAACAACGTCTCTGAGATAACAGACTTGGAGCTGTGCCGTCACAGAGAGGGAAAGATCAACCGCAGGCCTCCCCTCTGATTCACCTCACCTCACATGCTGAACTCCCTGATCTTTCCACTTGACACGGCTAAAAACATCAGACTGAATTCAATAGCGCACCGATATTATTGACAAAGGCTTTTCATGCAGCTCACAGCACACTATCTGTCACACAGCCTGTTGGCCAGCATATTGATTTGTGAAAGGGAGAGAGAGGTGAGTGACAGAGGGCAGATGGGGATGAAGAGAGGAAGATGGACAGACTAAGAGAGAGATAGCACAGTGAGTGATATGACAAAGGTGATAGATGAGAGATAGACACAAATACAGAGAGGAAGTCAGCGGGTGAGGGAAGAAATAGGTAACCAGACATAAAGCAGTCAGAGAGGCTCTTTGTCTTTTTAGCTGCACGTCATCTGACTGGTAAGATGATTAGTGGGAAAACATTTCTGCTTTGACATCTCTCTGGAGTTACACAGAAACAAAACAAAACCAAAAGACAGCGGACATGAGAGGAAAAAGGAGAAACTGTGGAAAAAACGTTTTGCTTGATGTGATTTTGATGACACGCACATAGGTAAAGAAAAGGACAGAGAGAACGCCAGGACAGTAAAGAGGAAAATTGTGGAAAAGATTTCTGCATGAAGTCATGCTGCAAAAACAAAAACTTGTGCAATCATTGACCAGAGCCAATAGATCTCCTACTCTCTCCCCCTCTGCCTTTTATTTCCTCTATTATTCTTTTTCACTTTCCCCCCTGTCCTTTTTCCTTAAAGTCAGACTCTCAGGAGACGGATGAAGGTCTTTGTGAACAAACAGAAAACAGCTGATAATCAGTGCAATTACTCTTGTGTGTTTTTACGTGTGTGTGTGTGTGTGTGTGTGTGTGTGTGTGTTGGAGGGGGGGAACATACCCGCAAAATCTCTTCAACACAGCTGGAGTCATTTGGAAGGCTGACCTGGAGAAAGCAAAGGAAAAAAAGAGACTGATTTCAACACTATTTATAACAGCATTTAAACACATTCTCACAGGGCATGTCAGTGTAAAGGTGGCACATTTACTGCTCAAGAGGTTTAATTCAGACAGTGGTATACAAAAGAAGCTCACTCATTGTCAATGAATAAGTGATAATTTGACCAATTAAAATGTATGTGAAACTGTAGCTACTATCAAACATTGACTCAATGAGTAAATTGACTTTTTAATGTTTCCTCCAATGTTTCCTTTCAGTAAATGTGCATTACAGTTAAGGGTCCCTGTTTGGGGTTTGAAATATGGTCCCACTGCCAAAGTAATGTTAGCTCAGGTAACGTTTCTAAAGTTGTTGGGAGTCTAAAATTGAAAAGCAGGATCCAGCTGCTAATGTCAGCATAAGCTGTTCTTGCTTCCTGGGTTAGCTTTACCACTGAGGTAAAAAATGAAAAATACCAAGTGAACGTGGAACAGTGAACATTTAATTTGAATGGAACCTGTAACAACCAAAACAAATCTAAACTAGTTAGCAAATTACTTTGTATATAACCTTGTTTACTAGAGCAGGTGATCACAATGAAAATTCTTTTCAGTCTTTATTACATTCAGAGACGTTGGGGTGATAACTCTCCTGGCGGCACAGGCACCGCTTACAGTTGTTTGAGTCTTCCTGCAGCATGTCTTCCCCCATTCTTTGTCCCCATTTCACATGTGCTGTCCTGTCAATAAAATGCCCCCAAAAATATCTAGAACCAGATCCAAGAACTGCTTTTGTTTTGCTTTGGCATGTAGAGAAACTTAAAGTTTGATGGGCTAGTTTTCTGTGCCTTGTTACAGTTGCTCAATCCTTTCAAGAGGGGTCAAACGGCTCATCAATTTTTTAACCCATTCCTGATGTAATTCTGTATTAACAAGTTGAAAGACAAAACATTTGTGCCTTTTGGTTGTGTAAGAAGCAGTATGGTTCGAATTATATTGAGCCTCCACTTATTGTGATTTATGAATACTGGTTTGTGTACGTGGGTAAAGAAAAGTAATGGATGGACAAAAAAGATATTTCAGTGTACACATTGAAAAAGCTTTAAATGCCTGTGGTTTGGCGAGTGTTGAGTTTACCACAGAACCATTTCAGCTCCACAATTCCTGGTACTGACTGTGTTTTATTGAAGGAGAAAAAGAGGGTGTTTGAGCTCAGACATATGCAGCTCCTCTGATTGAATTTATCAGTTCAATGGCCACACACTGCTAATCTGTGCCAACATGTGCTCTTGTCAATTAAGTTTTTCTTAGAACAGGAGTGATCTGGACTGGTGAAGTAACATCACATCAGACGCCTGCACTACAATTCAGAAAGGTGTGTGACAAGCATAATTTAATTCTTCATAGAAGTAAAATGTTCAAGTCAAACAAGTTAAACAAAAATGTGAAAAATGGTTTCTGTCGCTGGAACAGTTTGCTTTGTCAGTTCAGCCAAAGTGCACATGGTCATGCAAACTACAGAGTTGCTCTTCCATTTATTCCAAACAAACCATTATTGTTGCTGCTGGAAACACTGGACTTTGTTACCTAAAACCTACAAGACCCAGGAATAAAAGCCCTTTGCCAAATTATAGCTTCCAAAAAGTAATTGGAAACAAAAAAAAAAACAATTCACTGGGCCAGATCTGGTCTTAGATCAGTCCAACAACAGGCTCATTAAGGGGGAAAAGAGACGAAGAAACAGCTGGAGGAAGAAAGAAAACCCAAGAGACTCTGAGGGCAATTTCTTTGTACAGCTCATGTCTAACATATCACTGCACCATAACCTCTGTCACACACCATTACTAGAAGCACTAACATGACCATAGGAACAATTTAGTAACTCCGATGAGAGGGTTGAGAGCATAACCCCCCTAAATAACTGACTGTTAAAACAACAATATGATAAAAGGGATTTGGAGAGTTTGGTGGACACATTCTAAACTGCTTGCGCTCACGTCTTCTACACATTAGCTCTGCTTCTGCATCAGCCCGATAGAGTCAGCAGACAGGGCTGATGTGTGCTTTCATTTATACATTAAATTACATTACATATCATTTAGCTGACGCTTTTATCCAAAGTGTCTTACGATAAGTGCATTCAACCATAAGTGTACAAACCCAGAACAGCAAGAATCATGTAAGTACATTAGCTTAAGAAAAGCTAACCTACAGTGCTACATGT